CATGGGGAGCAAACGACAGGCCTTAGAGAACCGGTCCACAACGACCAGGATGGTAGTATTCCCTTGGGAGAGGGGAAGGTCTGTTATAAAGTCCACCGAGAGGTGGGACCATGGTCGTTGTGGAACGGGCAGGGGTAGCAACTTACCCCTAGGTAGATGTCTAGGCGCCTTACACTGGGCGCACACCGAGCAGGAGGAAACATAAACCCTCACATCCCTTGCCAACGTGGGCCACCAGTACTTGGCACTAAGACAGTGCACTGTCCGGCCGATACCCGGATGTCCAGAGGAGGGTGACGTGTGAGCCCAATAGATCAATCGATCCCGAACCTCGAGCGGAACGTACTTCCGACCCTCCGGGCACTGTGGTGGACTAGGGTCGGTGCGTAACGCCCGCTCGAGTTCAGCATCGACCTCCCACACTACCGGTGCCACCAGACACGACTCAGGCAGTATGGGAGTGGGCTCCACGGACATCTCCTCCGTGTCATACCGCCGAGACAGCGCATCTGCCTTGCCATTCTGTGACCCAGGGATGTACGTGATCTTAAACGTAAACCTGGTCAAGAACATACTCCATCTTGCCTGGCGAGGGTTCAGCCTCCTCGCCGCCCGGATGTACTCCAGGTTACGGTGGTCCGTCAAAATGAGGAAAGGGTGTTGAGCCCCCTCAAGCCAGTGCCTCCACACCTTTAGAGCCTGTACCACGGCTAACAGCTCCCTGTCCCCTACGTCATAGTTCCGCTCCGCCGGACTGAGCTTCTTAGAATAAAAAGCACAGGGGCGGAGTTTAGGTGGCACGCCAGACCGTTGTGAAAGCACGGCTCCTAAACCGGCCTCCGACGCGTCCACCTCTACCTGGAACGGCAAAGAGGGATCCGGATGTGCCAGCACCGGGGCCGAGGTAAACAGGTCCTTCAGCCTCCCAAACGCCCTGTCCGCCTCGGCCGACCACTGCAGACGCACCGGACCCCCCTTCAACAGAGACGTGATGGGAGCTGCCACCTGTCCAAAACCCCGGATAAATCTCCTGTAGTAATTTGCAAACCCCAAAAACTGCTGCACCTCCTTCACAGTGGTTGGTGTTTGCCAATTACGCACGGCCGACACCCGGTCTACCTCCATCTTCACCCCTGACGCAGACAACTGATAACCCAAAAAGGAGACCGACTCCTGGAAAAACAGACACTTCTCTGCCTTCACATACAGGTCGTGCTCCACCAGCCTCCGCAACACTCTACGCACCAGGGCCACATGCTCGACACGGGTAGGCGAGTACACGAGAATGTCATCAATGTACACCACCACCCCCTGCCCCTGCATGTCCCTGAAGATCTCATCCACGAATGATTGGAAAACTGACGGAGCGTTCATCAACCCGTATGGCATGACCAGATACTCGTAATGGCCCGAGGTGGTACTAAAGGCTGTTTTCCATTCATCACCCTCCCTGATGCGCACCAAGTTGTACGCGCTCCTGAGATCTAATTTCGTGAAGAAACGCGCCCCATGCAACGACTCCGTCATGGTCGCAATCAGCGGGAGTGGATAACTATACTTCACCGTAATCTGATTGAGACCACGGTAATCGATGCACGGGCGCAAACCACCATCCTTTTTCTGCACAAAAAAGAAACTCGAGGACGCAGGGGAAGTGGAAGGCCGTATGTATCCTTGTCTCAGAGATTCGTCTATGTAAATCTCCATAGCTTTCTTCTCCTCCTGAGACAGAGGATACACATGGCTCCGTGGGAGCGCAGCTCCTGCCTGGAGGTCTATCGCACAATCCCCCTGCCTATGGGGTGGCAACCGCGTCGCCCTCGCCTTACTAAACGCAATAGCCAAATCCCCATACTCAGGTGGAACGTGCAATGCGGGCACCTGGTTTGGACTCTCCACCGAGGTAGCCCCTACGGAAACGCCCAAACATCTACCCACACACTGAGCAGACCACTCCATCAGAGCCCTCTCCTGCCACGAAATAGCTGGGTTATGGGTACTCAACCAGGGCATGCCCAGCACCACCGGATATGCAGGAGAGTCAATCAGGAACAGCTGAATCATCTCCTGATGATCCCCCTGCGCACACATCCTAAGTGGCGCCGTGACTTCCCTGATTAAGCCCGTTCCCAACGGACGACTATCTAGGGCATGAACGGGGAAAGGAACATCAACAGGAATAAGGGGAATCCCTAACGCTAAACAAAACTTTTTATCAATAAAATTCCCAGCTGCGCCTGAATCTACCAGCGCCTTATGCTGGGAATGAGGTGCTACCTGTGGAAAACTTACAGGCATACAAAAATGGGCAACAGTGAGCTCTGGGTGAGTGGGGCGCCTACTCACCTGGAGGGAATCCCCAGTGCGGGACCTGTCGTCATCTCCCCTAGGAGGCCATCCCCAGCACCTAGCCGCGGTGTGTCCTCCCCGACCACAGTTGGTGCAGTGGATGGACCCCCTAGCCTGCCGACTCCTCCTCTCTCTAGCGCCAGCGCCCCCGAGCTCCATAGGACACGGCTCGGAGGCGCTGGAGGGTGAAATGGACGGACCCTCCGCAGGACGTCCGCGGGTAGCCAGTAGGTTATCCAGCCTGATGGACATGTCGACCAGCTGGTCGAAAGAGAGGCTGGTGTCCCTACAAGCCAGCTCCCGACGGACGTCCTCTCGTAGGCTGAGGGCCCGATCATTCCACCCTGCATCTGCCGCTAGAGTACGGAATTCGAGCGCGAATTCCTGGGCACTCCTCCTCCCCTGCCGGAGGAAGACCAGACGCTCCCCCGCCGCTTTCCCCTCCGGGGGATGGTCAAACACCGCCCTGAAGCGGCGGGAGAACTCGTCGTAGGTAATCGTCGTGGCGTCGATCTTCCTCCACTCCGCGTTGGCCCACTCCAACGCCTTCCCGGCCAGGCAGGAGATCAGGGCGGACACGCTCTCATGCCCCGAAGGTGCCGGGTGCACTGTGGCCAGGTATAGCTCCACCTGGAGTAGGAATCCCTGACACCCAGCCGCGGTTCCGTCGTAGGCCCTCGGGAGAGATAGTCGGACTCCTCGAGGTTCCGGCGCTGGAATGGGCGGGCTGGCCGATGGTGCTGGCAGGGAGGGAGGCGGTGGAGGCGTACCCCAGCCTCGGAGGGTGGAAATCACCTCCTGCAGGGCGGTCCCCATCTGCTGTATCTGGTTCTGTTGTTCCCGAACCTGGACCTCCAGTCTCGTCGGGGCTGCTTCGGCTCCTGCTGATTCCATGTCGGGTGTGTAATTCTGTCAAGGGTGTTGAAATGGTGTGGTGTGGAATCAGGCGCAGAAGCAGATGTACAGTCCAACAAGACTTTACTTGAGCAAAATAATCCAAAAGGCGGCCTGAGGCCAAACAGACGCACACAGGCGTCACACACGAGCGCACAAACACAGAGCGCAAAAACTCTCCTCAACCGAGGAGGAAGCTAATAGAACTGGCGTACCGAAAACACAGGCTACGCACAAACACCTGACACGAAACATAGAACATACAACGGTGGCAGCTAGAATTCCGGAGACGACGAACGCCGAAACCTGCCCGAACAAGGGAGAGAGGCAGCCTCGGCCGAAACCGTGACAAGTACAGTCTCAATAAAAACTAATTTACATTGGTGATGGCCTTTCACCCCTTGTCATTTCGGACTAGATTATTTTGGTAATAGCTATTTACCTAGGGTCAATTTCGGACCCTCCCCGTTTAGTAATAATTCCCAGAATTATTCTCCTTCGCGATTTTGGTAAGTATTCTCTGCCCTCCACAAGAATCACTATTCTTATAGAAGTTCAAATCATTTCACCAAAATCCATGAATAAAAATTACTGACCTATTCCTTGCAGTTTGGATTTAAATGCTTTTTCAAACTCGTTAACGTCTTTATCGTTCATCAGAGTCATCACCGGCCTGTTTATAACCTTAACGTCGAAGGCCAGGACTATTTCACGGATGCAATCACCCGCCCGTGCACGGGTTTCGGTGTCCTTAGAACGACAAAGACGTGTTTAAGATCCGGCTCAAAGGGCCACACTGTCATGTGAATTTCTATCTCTAATTCAACCTAAGCTTGAATCATTACCAGAGGTTGTAAGGCTCTGGTTTTAATCATCAATGATTCAAGGTCCACAACCCACAAGTATTATCTGTATATTTATTCATGGGGAGCTCTAACGCCAAAAACACATACACTCCGTTTTATACCTCCTGAACTTGACTCCTCCCACCTTTAGGTGGCTTTTCGAAACAGTTTCCGCCTTCCCCTTCACCCTTGAATGTTTAGTACCGCCCCCTCTGTTAGTGGGTTGACACTTCATGATAATTCTAACATTTATACTGTATTTGGTGTGAAATCCTTTAGTCATTATTCTTAAAATACAAATTAATCTAACACCTTCCACGGGAGGAAGAGCAGCTCCGTCTTGCCGAGGTTCAGCTAGAGGTGGTGATCCGTCATCCACACTGATATGTCTGCCAGACATGCAGAGATGCGATTCGCCACCTGGTTATCAGAAGGGGGAAAGGAGAAGATTAGTTGTGTGCCGTCTGCGTAGCAATGACAGGAGAGGCCATGTGAGGATATGACAGAGCCAAGTGACTTGGTGTATAGCGACAATAGGAGAGGGCCTATAACTGAGCCCTGGGGGACACCAGTGGTAAGAGCATGTGGTGCGGAGACAGATTCTCGCCACGCCAGTTGGTAGGAGCGACCTGTCAGGTAGGACACAATCCAAGAGTGAGCCGCGCCGGAGATGTCTTTTAGACTTTTACTCAAGTAGTATTTTACTGGATGACTTTCACTTTTACTTGAGTCATTTTCTATTAAGGTATCTTTCCTTTAACTCAAGTATGAGAATTTGGACTTTTTCCACCACTGCTATGTTGAAACATTTAATAGCGGTTTACAAATGATTTATGCACTAAATACTTCACTTGATGGCGATATGGTCAAACAAATTACATCATATGCATGTAAATCTCTAACTAACTGACAGGTGACAGGTCTGTATTCTGCTGAGTGCTGAATCAGTGAGTTATGTGTCCCTGTGGGCATCACAGCATAGTTGTACAGAGCAGAGTATCTCACTTCAGCAGAGGAGATCTCCCGATCTGCACAGGTCTTCTTTTTGTTCAGTTTAACAGTGAGGTGAGGGTATGGAGGTTTAGCTCTCACTACAGTCCTAGAGGCATGGCAGATGAAGAGTAGGAATTGTGGAGCTGATCCTGGATACTGTTTATACCACAGTACACTGTATGCTGAGGAGTGGTTGCAGGAAAGCTGAACATTACGACCCTCCTCTCCATACACTTCATGTTGGTTTGGCTCGATACTCTGCTCATAGGTGTCACCTGCAAATGTGAAGAGCTATACATTGATTCATTTCTAAATTGAAATAAAAATGTATTGTTGTAACTTTCAAAACAGAATACATGACACTACTTTGAAAGCATGGTGATGGTTTGTTGAAAACTGACACCTACAAATGTGAAGAGGTGGTAGATAAATGACAAGACAGATGTATATGAAATGAGGGAAGAGCTTCGTATTTACTCTAAAATCCAATAGCACTGATAAAGTATATATTAGCCAAAATAATCTAGTTAAAAGAATGACAGGAATACAGTAATTTACTAACCTGTGAATGAAGAAACTAAAACAACTGTGTAGAGAACCATTATATTGTAGCTGAGGTTACAGTGGCTTGCGAAAGTACTATTCACCCCCCTCAAAGTCAATACTTTGTAGAGCCACCTTTTGCAGTAATTACAGCTGCAAGTATATTGGGGTATGTCTCTATAAGCTTGGCACATCTAGCCACTGGGACTTTTGCCCATTCTTCAAGGCAAAACTGCTCCAGCTCCTTCAAGTGGAATGGGTTCCGCTGGTGTACAGCAATCTTTAAGTCATACCACAGATTCTCAATTGGATTGAGGTCTGGGCTTTAACTAGGCCATTCCAAGACATTTAAATGTTTCCCCTTAAACCACTCGAGTGTTGCTTTAGCAGTATGCTTAGGGTCATTGTCCTGCTGGAAGGTGAACCTCCGTCCCAGTCTCAAATCTCTGGAAGACTGAAAGAGGTTTCCCTCAAGCATTTCCCTGTATTTAGCGCCATCCATCATTCCTTCAATTCTGACCAGTTTCCCAGTCCCTGCCGATGAAAAACATCCCCACATCATGATGCTGCCACCACCATGCTTCACTGTGGGGCTGGTGTTCTCGGGGTGATGAGAGGTGTTGGGTTTGCGCCAGACATAGCATTTTCCTTGATGGCCAAAAATATCAATTTTAGTATTAAATTAATACTGGTAGTATTGTACTGAAAAATAAATAACGGATTGGAGCAAAGGCAGTAAACAAATCAGGTACATAATATCATACCATAACAACATGCAGCAAGAATCAGTATATTCCTCAGCCAGGGTTCCATACCTGCTACTGTGAGATCAGTGGGAGAAGAGTAATACCACTCTGATGTAACTAGACCAAGATGAGACTATGAACTCCTTGTCTCCTCCTCTTTCTGTGTATCATCAAACATTGAGAAGCTTGTGACATTGTCTGAACAACACTCTACCCTGATTTTTTGTGCAGTGACTGAATCTTCTGTTGTCACAGTGGACCTCAGAGCACAGTAGTACAAAGGAGAGTCAGACGGCTGCAACCTCTGGATCGTCAAGGGGACAGAGCTAGATGTGAAATTCAGCCTGGAATCAAACCTTTTCTTGAACTCATCGCTATTGCTCCCTTCTGAATAACAATCTCTTCTCAGGACATACTGAGGAGAGTCCCTAGTTAACTGGATGTACCAGAAGAGATCAGGAGATGTACTACTGCTAGTGTAGTTACAGCTGAGTGTTACCAGTCCTCCTTCAAGGGCAGTAACATGTCCACTCTGTTAGTCAACAGACTCTTCACCTTTGCAATCTGAAAGAAATAAAAATACATTGAATCTTAGCCTATTATGTATTTAAAAACAGAGAATGAGAATGTAGAAAAGAGAATCACTATACCGTACCAAAATAGCATGCAGCCAGGATAAGTACAGTATTCCTAAGCCAATGTTCCATTATGATTCATGTATAGAGGAAGAATAGACTGTTGTAGAATGTTATCTTCTTCTCCAAGTCCTTTGAACATTCTAATTTGGCAGTTGTTATGGGCCTTGGAGAAATATATGTTTTGTTCAGGCCAAATTGAGCTCATCTGACAAATAAAATAAAATCCAGTGAGGGTTTATAACAAAATCTGAAATTAAGGTCCAGAACACAGTAGCCTATGAACCAGTCCAATATAGACCTGGGTTATGCTGACCAATGTCACAAAGAGTTATCTTTACCATGCATTTAAAACAGTAGTCAAGTCAACTGACGATTGGTTTTATGATTGATACCAATGATTTACACGTGATGCAACCATGATCATCATTCCTGTCATCACAGTGCACATTAACGTTAATGATGGTCAATGGCATCACCATGTAGCCTATTACGCATTTGTTGTTGTCTCTCAATTTTGTCCATAAAATAAACCTCTCACTCCTGCCTGGAGTTAATAAAGTATAAAACTGCCTGCCTCATAATCCTGCTTCTCCTAATGTGTTTCATTATTTGTGCCAACTGAAGTCAGGGCTGGGGTTAATACTAGGGTTACGATCAATTCAGTAGGTGGACAAGAAGCTAGGGTTAGAATTGGACTAGATTTTATTGAAGTGTCTGTGTGTTGTTGCATGTGTCTGATGCACTGCTTCACCATTTAAAGTAAATGCCTCAAGGGAATACATTAAATTGTTTTGTAAGCCCTATATTATATATTGTTCTACATAATTTAGTAATTAATACAGTTGACTCTGCCTGTATGCACTTTGGAAAACCACAGTCTGTTCACATAAAATAAATGCAAATTATTAATACAAGAAGCACTGTCAGGAGGTCAGTGTGATGCGTTAGGACGAAGTCAGGCGCAGGACACAGAGCTAATCGAAAACGTACTTTACTCGTAGGTAACGTAAATAACATAACCTCCACGCAGGGAGGAACAAACCCCCTCACCAGACGACAACCAAACATGAACAAACACGCACAAAACACAGTGGGAGCCAGAGGGTTAAATAGGGAAGAAATCAATACATAATGGGAACCAGGTGTGAACAATCAAGACAAAACAAGTAGAACACAGAAACATCGATCGGTAGCAGCTAGTACTCCGGCGACGACCAACGCCGAAGCCTGCCCAGGCAAGGAGGAGGGGCAGCCTCGGCTGAATCCGTGACAAGCACAAACCGAATATGCAATTGTGACAAGAAAGGGTTAAAACATAATGAATATATATTCTGTTTGGTGTGGGAAATTATACAACCCAGAAACATGTGAAGTGTTGACATGCTGCATGCATCATTTAAATGAATAGGAGCAAATTGATGAGACTCCACTGACACCTTTTGACTCTCACTAGTAACTTACCCTTGATAATACAAGCAATGTCAAAGTTCACCTTGTTGGGCAGAATGTTGAACACTAGATATAACTATTGTATCATTATTATACATAGACAAACCTTTTCACTGGACTTCATAACTGTGGAGGGCAGTCTGTAGGAGGAGCACAGACAAAGTAGATCTGTCATATAACTGATCATGAGCCAGAGAGAACATCTCAGTGGTTGTGGCTGAAGAGTGAGAAGGAGTGGACGAGCCACCTGGCTCACTTAGGCCTGATTAATCTGTCCTTCAGAAGGTGTAGTGGGCAGCACATGTAGGGTAAGAAGGTACCTCACCTGAAGATCAGCCAGGAGCTGCAGAAACAGCTGTTTGTGGGTATATGTAAAGAAAACCCTTTTTACTCACACTTTGCTGACCTAAAAAAGTTGAGGAGGTTTTGAGAATAAAGACACAAAATCTTTACGTGAATAATGAATTATTATACATGTGCAAACTTTAATTACTTTTTCTATCTAGTGACCCAGACCAAAACTTTGTGTTTGTCTGGTCCATTACCAGTCAGTTGGCTTCAGGTATGCTCCTCTAAAGAGTGCAGTACATGGATTTACCACCAGAGGACCAAACCACTGAGCAGGTCAATTTTGAGAAAAATTATGTCAAATAATATATGTATACGGTATGTATATGATGTGGTTAAAAGGCCTGACTGTAGCAGAATAGGAACATGCATATCAAATTAAGGACAGGTGAAACATTTGAGTCATAAGCTCTATTTACAGGAGACATTAACATAATTTGCTAAAAAGTAAGGGTTAGACACAAGTTCATAAAGAAACTGGATAAATTCCTGCTGATGTGGTCCCAGCTGAGGTTTATGTACAGTGTGTGTGTGACGAGGTGTGAAAGAAGGAGTCAGGCGCAGGAGGTAAAATACCGAAGTCCAGAGTTTAATCCGTTTGCATAAATCAAACACCCCCAAGCGTCAAACGAAACTGTACAAGGGAAAACATCCACCTTGGCAAATAACACAGTGAAATGTAGCTCAACCGAGCTACATGCTCTCACAACAAAACAATCACTCAGAAAGACAAGAGGAACAGAGGGAACACTTATACACATACTAATTAGGGGAATGAGCACCAGGTGTGTGTGATTGACAAGACATGACAAGTGGAGTGATGAGAATGGGATCGGCAGTAGCTAGTACTCCGGTGACGAACGCCGAAGCCAGAAGGGGGGCAGCCTCGGTGGAAGTTGTGACAGTATCCCCCCCCCCCCCCCCCCCCCCGACGCACGGCTCCAGCAGTGCATCGACCCCGGCCTCGGGGACGACCAGGAGGACGCGGAGCAGGGCAAGTTGGATGGCGACGGTGGAAATCCCTCAACAGGGAGGGATCGAGGATATCCCGCCTTGGGACCCAGCACCGATCCACCGGACCGTACCCCTCCCACTCCACGAGATACTGAAGGCCCCCCACCCGACGCCTCGAATCCAGGATGGAACGGACCGAGTATGCCGGGGCCCCCTCAATGTCCAGAGGAGGTGGAGGAACCTCCCGTACCTCAGACTCCTGGAGCGAACCAGCTACCACCGGCCTGAGGAGAGACACATGAAACCAGGGGTCAATACGGTAATCGGGGGGGAGTAACAACCTGTATGTCACCTCGTTTATTCTCCTCAGGACTTTAAACGGCCCCACAAACCCCTGGTTCAGCTTCCGGCAGGGCAGGCGGAGGGGTAGATTCCGGTTCGAGAGCCAGACCCGATCCCCTGGTACGAACACCGGGGCCTCCCTGCGGTGGCAGTCAGCGTTGGCCTTCTGACGACACACGCCGCACTGGAGGCGAACGTGGGCAGCGTCCCAAGTCTCCTCCGCGTGCCGAAACCAGTCATCCACCGCGGGAGCCTCGGTCTGGCTCTGGTGCCACGGTGCCAGGACCGGTTGGTACCCCAAAACACATTGGAAGGGTGTTAGATTAGTGGAGGAGTGGCGGAGAGAGTTATGAGCATATTCTGCCCATGGCAGGAACACCGACCACTCCCCCGGCCGGTCCTGACAGTATGTCCGCAGGAACCTACCCACATCTTGATTCACCCTTTCCACCTGCCCATTGCACTCAGGGTGAAAACCAAAGGTCAGGCTGACCGAGACGCCCAGACGTTCCATCAACACCTTCCAGACTCTAGACGTGAACTGGGGACCTCGGTCGGACACTATATCCTCTGGTACCCCTTAGTGCCGGAAGACGTGAGTAAACAGAGCCTCCGTAGTTTGTATGGCCGTGGGGAGACCTGGCAGAGGAAGGAGGCGACAGGACTTTGAAAGCGGTCTACAACGACCAGGATCGTGGTGTTACCTTGGGAGTGGGGAAGATCAGTGATAAAATCAATACTCAGGTGAGACCATGGTCGTTGTGGAACTGGTAAAGGTTGTAGCTTACCCGCTGGGAGGTGCCTAGGTGCCTTACTCTGGGAGCACACTGAGCATGAGGAAACATACACCCTCACGTCCTTAGCCAAGGTAGGCCACCAGTACTTCTTGGTCAGGCAGCGCATTGTACGACCGATACCTGGATGACCAGAGGAGGGTGACGTGTGTGCCCAGTAGATCAGACGATCACGGATAAGCGCAGGCATGTGCTGCAGCCCAGCTGGACATTGTGGTGGAGATGAATCTGTGCGTAATGCCTGCGCTATATCTGTGTCCATCGCCCATACTACCGGCACCACAATGCATGAGGCCGGGAGTATGGGGTGTTGTCTCTGGGCCTCTCCTCTGTGTCATACAGCCGAGACAGTGGGTCTGCCTTCACGTTCTTCGTACCCGGAATGTATGAGAGTGTGAAATCAAACCGGGTGAAGAAGAGGGTCCACCTGGCCTGGCGAGGAGTCAGCCTCCTCGCTGCCCGAATGTACTCCAGGTTACGGTGGTCTGTCCAGACGAGGAAAGGGTGTTTCGCCCCTTCGAGCCAATGTCTCCAAGCTCGGACAACAGCCAACAGCTCCCGATCACCAACGCCGTAGTTCTGCTCCGCCGAGCTGAGCTTCTTAGAAAAGAAGGCACAGGGGCGGAGCTTGGGTGGCGTTCCCGAGCGTTGGGATAAGACAGCTCCTATCCCTACCTCGGACGCATCCATCTCAACTACAAACGGTAATGATGGTTCGGGGTGAGCCAGTACCGGGGCTGAGGTGAACAGACCCCGCAATCTACTGAATGCCAAATCAGCCTCAGCAGACCAGCGAAGCTGGGACGGCCCACCCTTCAACAAGGAGGTAATGGGAGCTGCGACCTTGCCAAAACCCCAAATAAACCTTTGATAGTAGTTGGCAAAGCCAAGGAAGCGCTGCACCTCCTTTACCGTGGTTGGAGTCGGCCAATTACGCAAGGCTGCAATGCGGTCTCCCTCCATCTCCACACCTGTGGTGGTAATGCGATATCCAAAGAAGGAGATTGACTGCTGGAATAACGTACACTTCTCTGCCTTTGCATGAAGGTCATTTTCCAGCAGTCGGACCAGTACTTTGCGAACCAGGGACACATGCTCGGCACGCGTAGCGGAATACACCAGGATTATAATTTTTTTTTTATGTCATCGATGTAGACCACCACACCACGACCAAGCATGTCCCGAAACACCTCGTTCACAAAGGACTGGAAACGGATGGAGCATTCATCAAACCATAGGGCATCACCAGGGCATCACCACGGTTGACAACTCCGTTGTGTCCTCCTCCCAGACTGCAAAGAGCCTTGGCGTGACCCTGGACAACACCCTGTCGTTCTCCGCTAACATCAAGGCGGTGACCCGATCCTGTAGGTTCATGCTCTACAACATTCGGAGAGTACGACCCTGCCTTACACAGGAAGCGGCACAGGTCCTAATCCAGGCACTTGTCATCTCCCGTCTGGATTACTGCAACTCGCTGTTGGCTGGGCTCCCTGCCTGTGCCATTAAACCCCTACAACTCATCCAGAATGCCGCAGCCCTTCTGGTGTTCAACCTTCCCAAGTTCTCTCACGTCATCCCGCTCCTCCGCACAGCTCGCATCTGCTACAAGACCATGGTGCTTGCCTACGGAGCTGTGAGGGGAACGGCACCTCCTTACCTTCAGGCTCTGATCAGTCCCTACACCCAAACGAGGGCATTGCGTTCATCCACCTCTGGCCTGCTGGCCCCCCTTCCTCTGCGGAAGCACAGTTCCCACTCAGCCCAGTAAAAACTGTTCGCTGCTCTGGCACCCCAATGGTGGAACAAGCTCCCTCACGACGCCAGGACAGCGGAGTCACTCACCACCTTCCGGAGACACTTGAAACCCCACCTCTTTAAGGAATACCTGGGATAGGATAAAGTAATCCTTCTACCCCCCCTTACCCCACCCCCCAAAAAAAGTATATTGTAAAGTGGTTATCCCACTGGCTATAAGGTGAATTCACCAATTTGTAAGTCACTCTGGATAAGAGCGTCTGCTAAATGACGTAATTGTAAATGTAAAATGTATTCATAATGCCCTGAGGTTATGCTGAATGCTCTTTTCCACTCATCCCCTTCCCGAATATGCACCAGGTTGTAGGCACTCCTGAAGTCTAATTTGGTGAAAAAACGGGCCCCATGCATTGACTCAATCACTGAAGGAATGAGGGGAAGAGGATAACTAAATTGTACCGTCACATTATTCAGTGGTCGATAATCAATGCACGGACGTAAACCGCCATCTTTCTTCTTCACAAAGAAGAAACTCGAGGAGGCAGGTGAAGTGGAGGGACGTATATACCCATGGCGTAGGGACTCGGTGACGTATATTTCCATAGCCTCCGTTTCAGCCTGCGACAGGGGATACACATGACTCCTGGGAGGTACTGCGTCTACCCAAAGGTTTATCGCGCAATCCCCCTCCCGATGAGGTGGTAATTTATTTGCTTGCGTTTTGGAAAACGCGAGCGCCAGATCATGGTATTCGGGGGGAATGCGCACAGTGGGGGTACCGTCTGGACTTTCCACCGTGGTCGCACCAACGGAAACACCTAGACCGGACACTCACGCCGGACACTCACGCGACCACCCCGTCAGAACCCTCTGCGGCCATGAGAAATTGGGGTTGTGAAGGGCTAACCACGGATACCCAAGACTACAGGGTAAACAGGAGACTCAATAGTCATAAAGGTGATCTGCTCAACTTGTGTCTCCTGCTTAATCATGGTGACTGGTACAGTAACTTCCTTAACCAACCCGGACCCTGATGGTCGACTATCTAGTGCTCTGATGGGGAGTGGAATGGTTAGGGGAACCAATGAAATACCTTGATGGTGTGCAAATGCCCTGTCCATAAAATTCCCAGCTGCGCCTGAATCGACTAGTGCCTTACACTGGGAACCTTCCAAGTGATCTGGAAAGGAGATAGATAAAGTACAGTGCGCCGCAAAGGGCTCTGAACACGTTTGGGTGTTCGTTACCTGGGGTGATGCGTGAGTACCCTGCCTACCGCCTCCAGACCCAAAAGAATGTTGACTGCGACGTGAGGTGGATTGTCCCTTCGTGCCACCAGAGTGGCACTGTCGCTGTTCTCCTGCGCTCTCTCAACCGGCGGCTCCCCCCATCTCCATCTGCTCGGGGTCAGATTCGTTCGGAGTGGGAACGGGCAGACCCCTACCAGGACGTCCTCTGGCTGCTAGCATATTGTCCAGCCGGATGGCCATGTCCACCAGTTGGGAGAACGATAGTATGGCATTCCGGCAGGCTAGCTCCCGTCGGACGTCCTCCCTAAGGTGGCACCGGAAATGGTCTATCAGGGCCCGCTCGTTCCACCGGGACCCCGCTGCCAGCGTCCGGAACTCCAGCGCGTAGTCCTGAGCGGTCCTCGTCCCCTGCCTTAGATGAACCAGTCGTTCGCCCGCCTCTCGACCCTCAGGCGGGTGATCAAAAACAAGGTATCTCCCTCGTTCCATACCGTGTTGGCCCACTCCAGGGCTCTCCCACAAAGGCAGGAAACGAGGACGGATACCTTCTCCCGCTCCCGGGCGCTCTGGCCTGATGCAGGAGAAATACAACTCCAGTTGGAGTAGGAATCCCTTACATCACGCTGCAGTCCCGTCAAACGCCGGTGGCCGGGATATCTGGAACCATCCAGGGGCTGGGGTGTAGGTGGCTGGATCCGGTTGACCACCTGGTTTCGATAGTTCGGATCCTCTCCTCTCCAGGCGTTCTACCACCTGAAGAACCCGATCCATCGCTTCCCCCAAGCTGGCCAACATCGAGGAATGCTCCTGGACCCTTTGCCACAACTCCAGGCATGCGGTTTTCTCCTGCTGACTCCATATCAGATCAGGTGAGTGATTCTGTGCCGAGGTGTGAAAGAAGGAGTCAGGCGCAGGAGGTAAAATACCGAAGTCCAGAGTTTAATTCATTTGCATAAATCAACGCCCCCAAGCGTCAAACCAAACTGTACAAGGGAAAACATCCACCTTGGCAAATAACACAGTGAAATGTAGCTCAACGGAGCTACACGCTCTCACAACAAAACAATCACTCACAAAGACAAGAGGAACAGAGGGAACACTTATATACATACTAATTAGGGGAATGAGCACCAGGTGTGTGTGATAAACAAGACATGACAAGTGGAGTGATGAGAATGGGATCGGCAGTAGCTAGTACTCCGGTGACGACGAACGCCGAAGCCTGCCCAAACCAGGAGGGGGGGGGGCAGCCTCGGCGGAAGTCGTGACAGTGTGTAGGTTTCCTGTCACTTTGGGCCTCACAGCACAGTACTACAGAGCAGAGTCTGTCACTTCAGTAGAGGAGATCTCAAGATCCAAATGTTTTTTCTCTTCATTGAGTTTCGCAGTGTTCAGAGGATATGCTTTCTTTATAAACTCTGAACCTGAGGTGTACAGGAGGAACTCTGGCCTTTGTGCTGTGTCTTGGTGATACCAATAGACTTTATCTCCACCAGTAGCTGTTCTGGAGTAGTTGTAAGACAGGGTAGCAAGGGTTCCCTCTAAACAGAACTCTCCTTTCTTGAGTGGAGTGAGGTCGTCACAACTGACACCTGCATAGAGAATGGTTTTAATACACATACAGTTAATTGTTCATGAAAATGTATTTGAAAATTAATTCATTTCAAATGGACAAATATGGCAATGCATTGTATTGTATTTTAGTGGCTACAAATAAATATGGTCAGGAACAACACTGAATACAGCAACACCATCTTAGATGAACAGACACAAACTGACAGAAAGATCTTAGCAGTCTCTGAAAGTTTCCTCCTGTTTTCATGTTTCTATACTGCTGTTCAACCCCTCCTCTACTATAAGTCCCTCCCCTTAACATACAGTAGGTATGTTATGTATGTATTTCATACAGGATGTCTGTTTCCTCCCATGGTTCTTGACAGGTTTCTAAGTTTCCTGTCACTGTGGTCTTCATGGCACAGCAGTACAGAGCAGAGTATTTATTCTGTATCAATTTAACCTAACAGAATAGCAGGCTACCAATTCTCTTGGAAGTCTGTATCTATCATCCATAGAAGGAATATTGGCATTTTCCCAGCACTGGTTTGACGATACCAGTTGAATCTATTTCCAATTACAGAAGTCGAGGAGCAGTTGTAGGACACGGTGACAGTGGTTCCCTCCAAGACATGCACTTCATTTCTTAAATGAGCAATAGCATTCCCAAAACTGTCATCTGTATAAAAAAATTGTAGTTGTAATGCATATGTTAATGAAAAGAAAATGAAACGTAAAACATAATATCATTTTTTTATGCATCATTATCAGTTAAGCGTCAATTACCTACAAATGTGCGTAGCAGTAGTACTGCATACAGAAACATAATCTTGGCTATCTCTGAATATTTACTCCTCTGTTGCCTTGACGTATCTTACTTTATTTCTGCTTACTGTAGCTCCCCTTCTCATTGGTTTCTTCCCAAGGCACTTGACATGTTTTTGTACAGTGTGTCTGGGTCTTCCAGTTCAGCAGAGGGGATCTTCAAATCCACAAGAGTCTCTCTTCATTGAGTCTACCAGTGTGTCGTGGAGTCTTAATGGATGTATTCTGTACAAAAGAAGACATTCTGGTCTAGATCCGTGGTATTGACGGTACCATTGGAGATAGTTAACGTTTCCCTTGTAGTTGCAGGAGAGAGTGATGTCTGTTCCTTGGAGAACATTGACTTCAGGCTTCACTGGAGTTATTGTTTCCTGCTCCATACTATCAGCTGCAACAACATAAGTATTGACATTGTGTTCATGTTTATTCTAAATGAGAAAAAATGCATGGATTAGGTGCCGATAAAGTGCAACAAGAGAAATAATTAAAACTTTCCAGTAAAATATCACTTAATGTTTAATGCATCATTCATTGAAAAAAGCAATATCACTGTATTCAAAATGTTATTTGGTTTAAGATGAGAATTCAGCACTCACCTACAAACACAGAGAGGAGCAACAGTAATATGAGTGACATCCTGACACAGACTAGATAAACCAACTGAGAGATAAGACAGTGAGAGAGCTCAGTAGATCCTCTACAGAGACATCCTCATTATTGCAGGGATACCCAGCCTATATCAGTGTTTGACTATGAGGCCCCTCCTCTGATAACTGGATATGTAAATCTTTTTCTGTTGTTTGTGGTTAAGGGTTTTCAAATCCTATTGGCCTTAATTTCTATTTGGAAATGTCTAGGGAATGCTATTGTTTGTTTGTTTTCATTTCATACTATACAATGCCATACCATATGAACAAATAAACTTATAATAAGAATGGTTTCATATGTTTTCACTGTTGATAAGGATGAAGTTCAATTCAAACACAAAGCCTTTATCCCTCATCTGGGTGTCTTGTCTGCTTTTTGTATGATCAAGTTCTGTTTCCTGTCACTGTGGACTTCACAGCACAGTAGTACAGAGCAGAGTCTGTCACTTCAGCAGAGGAGATCTCCAGATCCTCACGGTCAGTATGAACCTGAGCTGACAGGCGACATATTCTAATTTAGTGATGAGAATCAGGAACTTGGCTTAGACTTAGGATACTGATGATACCACTGTAGATTGTCTACAGAGTCAGTGTAGCTGCAGGACAGTTTGATGGTATCACCCTCCACACCACCTACAATAGACCTAGTAGGATTAATGTCATATTCAAAACTGACACCTGTCAGAAATGGAAAAACATGTTGCTTCTTTTTGATAGCTTTTCTGACAACTATTAAATATATTCTGCAGTTGGAATTAAAATGATGAAATTGAATACAGCACTCACCATCAAGGACTGAGAGGAGGATAAATTATGAAAGCAGCAACATAGCTGATAGATACAGTATCAAAAGACTCTGACACAAAACAGGCAGAGTTGAATATCTCTCTCTGTAGCAATCTGTCAGTCTTGATGATTGGAGAAAATGTTGTAGCTCCACCTACTACGAAAGACAGGGGGTGGTGAACAACCAAATGTGTTTATGTTTGTGCCATGCAATCCTTGTTTAATGTACATCTTAGTATTGATGCATTCATTTATTTTTAACAATACTACTCCATTCACGTTATACTGCATTATGAATAAAAAAGCTTAAAATGAATACAATGCAATTGTTGCTGTTTTTTGTATTTTATTTCATTTAACTTTGTTATTTCATTACTTTTTTATAAGTAAAAAAACAAGTATTGTAATGAATGTCAAATGTTATAAAATACAACAACAACAAGATGTCTCAAATGAAATAAAAGTATAAAAAGAAGTGTACAACACAACATAAGACACTTAAAAAAATACGTTAAACAATACAAATCAATTGTTGTTGTTTTTTGTATTTTATTTCATTTAACTTTGTTATTTCATTACATTTATTTCTTATACGTTTTGTTACTTATTATTTTTGAAAGGAGGTTTGGGAATATTATTAACTTATGTCTGATGTTATCTTGTACACTTTTTTTTATAAAGCTGCTTTTGAGTGTTCAGAGATAAAACACTGTAGTTCTTCTGACTGGCATGGAAGTGACTAGAGTCTTCAGAGGTGTAAGGATATTTAGGAGTATGAAAGTAGGGTATATGATGCAGAGGTACTCCATTCATGTTATACTTCATTATGAAGTAAACATAACAAATTATTCATGATTGATCTGGACATCAAGTTACCGCTCACTGAGAGTCTGTCACTTCAGCAGAGGAGATCTCCAGATCCACAAGGGTTCTCTCATCGTTCAGTTTAACTGACAACTGACGGTACGGAGGAGGAGCTTTTACTACAGAGCGGTTTGACGACACTCCAGTGAGGAGGAGGAAGATGGGAGCTGATCCAGGGTCCTGGAGATACCACTGAAGAGAGACTGCAGATGAGTAGGTGCATGAAAGTGTAATATTGCTACATTGACATTGGGGCTGAAACTGGAACTTAAAATGATAACACACAGCACAAGATTTGTGTATACTAAAAAAACATCCTCCTCCTTCTAGTTTTGAATGGACCATCTGTTCCAAACCTTTGAAGCCCCACCCCAAAATACAGAGAATTGTCAGATGAGCAGAAGTAACAGCAGACTTCTTGCTGCTGCTTGATGCCACTGTCACATCCTCAAAATGCAGGGCTGCACTGAATTATGATAACTTTTGTCTCCCTCTATTGGATATTGTATAAAACATTTATTCAACATGAGGCATTAATTAATTCACTCACAGTTTATTATGATTTCCTATTTAAAACGACGATCTATAGTATAATCAAAATCAGATAACCTTAATGAGTTTCTCTCACTTTTCCATCAAACGTTTTTATATATATATATAGTTTTTTATTGTTTATTGAAAATCTTTCATTGTTCATTTTCAGTTTATGTATGTTTTGTCTATACGAGGGAATGATGAAATTCAAATTGAGGGGATGTCTAGGGGATGTCAGTTTTTTTTCTTCAGGTTTTTGTACAGTCTGTACAGGTTTCCTGTCACAGTGGGCCTCAGAGCACAGTAGTACACAGCAGAGTCAAACAGCTGCAACCTCTGGATCGTCAAGGGGACTGATTGTGTCTTGGTATTTAGACTTGCATTGAATCTCTCCATGAACCCTTCAGCATTGTCTCCAGATCCAGAATAATAACGGGTCAGTATATGTTTAGGGAAGTCATTTGCTTCTTGTTTGTACCAATATAGATATACATTATTATTAGCACTGGTGGTGTTATATTGACAACTCAGTATTACCAGTCCTCCTTCTGTAGCAATCACACCTCCTGGTTGCTGTTGCACATTGTCTCCTGTGCACTCTGGGGAAAAAAGAAAGACTGAGTGATAATTTGAAAGTTTATAAAAATTTAAAACATATAGTTAAAATGTGTAAAAGATGAGATAAAGCAATGAGAGAAAAGGATCCTTCATACCGAAGCACAATACAGCAAGAACCAGCCAGATGATCAGACAGAGTACCATGGTTCTGCAGAACACACAGAGAGTGACTGTGAGTTACAGTAAGAGGTAGAGATCCTCTCTCTCTCTTCCATGTCCATCTCAGCCTGTATATCACCATCAACTGACAGACATAAAGGAGGAGCCTGTTCAGAGAGGGGTAAGATTGGATAGAAATGTATGTTTCAATATTACCTCGTCAATATTATATTAGCACTCTTTGCAGTACAATAGACAAAGTGTAAAGCCTAGACGTCTAGCTCACATGCTATGGAAAGTAGCCTAAAGGAATTGACAATCACTTAAATGTTCCATGAAGTTAGTATGATTAATTTATCTGAAGCAATTGTTTGAAAACGTACACATATTCTGATATAATACATGTACAAACACTAATGTAGCCTACAGAGTATCTAATTCAGGTTTACTACTGTACTTAAAGCATATTAAAATATGTTTTCTGCTTTTGTCCCAACTTTTCAGGGGGCGGTATATCCTGTTGTCACAGTGGGCTTCAGAGCACAGTAGTACATAGCAGAGTCAGACAGCTGCAACCTCTGGATCGTCAATGGGACTAATTTTGCTGTGACTTTCTCTCCTTTAACCCAGTAGCACTTTCCCCAGGTGAAAACATATCCCTTCTCAGCATAAACATGGTGTTGACATTTGCTAGGTGCTTGTAACAGAATAGATATGGTAATTTAGCAGTTCTATCGAATAGACAAGTGAGTGTTTTTGGTTGTCCTTCTACGACCATTACCTATTCTGTTGGCTGTGTTACATTATCTTCTGCTCTGCACCCTGAAAAGAAAGATAAATATATCTTCACAACATATAATAATAATGTATCTAAATAAATGAACAAATGCACAGAAAGAGACAGATGAACAAAGTGATGTTATTTATACCAAAGCAGCATGCAGCCAGAACATGCAGTCAGTTTGTTGTTTAAAAGGTAAGGAGCAGAACAATGCTGATCTATCTATCACAGAGCTTTGACACCCTCTGTACTACTGTTGATGCTTCATGTTGTTATGTATTACATGCAGTAGTAGACCATGGGGATGTGTCTGTCTGTATGGCATCCTCTGATTCAGGGGTGTGTGTTCTTTGTTAGGTTGCCCTCTTCAGGTTGACTTTCATACTACACCACCAAGCAGTGTGACTTGTGAGGAGGAGTAACTACAAACAATAATATTGTTGCACTTTGTCATATTCCCAAGTGCTTTTCCAACTGATATAAAAAAGATTGAAGAATACATCTTTCTCACAGTTCATTGAATATGAAGAAAGAGAAACACTAGATACCTGGTGATTCAACATAGCACAGGTGTGACCACAGCCATTATGACATCAAATGTGGTTGATGTTTAATTATGATTTCCACTTCAACAAAGTATTTTGGTCTGCAGGTTTTTGTACAGGGTCTTATACACTTTGTATCACTGGGTATAATCCCAGAGAGCACAGTAGTAGAGAGCTGTGTCTGCCAGGGTTAGCCTTGTTATAACCAGTTCAGTTGATGTGTGAGACGTTTTGGATGCAAATCTTTTATCAGGGATATGTTCATTGGTTCTTGATCTGGCACCTTTATACAGTAGAAACTGAGGAGCCTGGTTAGAATAATGCCGGTACCAGTAAAGGTCAACATAATCACTGCTTGTTTCATATGTACAGCTCATAGTCACTGATGATCCCTCAGTGGGGGTGAACTCCTCCTTGTCAGGAGTCACACTATCTCCAGATACCATTCCTGCAGAGGAAAAATAGATAATAAAGCTGATTGGAAACTCATGCTTATTATTAACATTTAAATGACTTTACATCATCAATAAATGTTTTCCTACCAATACCATAATAATAATCTGATTATAAGGATGCAAGGAATTCAAATGTTTAGGTATTGTTTACCTGTAGCCATAATCAGAATGATCAATACACTGATTGATTTCTCCATCTTCAGGCTGATGTTTGCATGCATTCACTCTCCTCTGAAATGTTATTCTGTGTGTCACTGTGTGAGGTGTACAGCCCTGGTTACGTCACACCTACCACAGAAGTACAGCTTGCATTTTTTCTACACTAGTGCCAAGTATACACTCATTTTTGTAGGGGGGCTATATATCCTGTTTTCACAGTGGACCTCAGAGCACAGTAGTACACAGCAGAGTCAGACAGCTGCACCCTCTGGATCGTCAAGGAGACTGATTTGGTAATGGAACTGAGATGGGCATCAAATCACTCCTTGAATTTATCCACAAAATCCCCTTGTCCAATGACATCCTTCCACAAAACATATTCAGGGTAATCGTTTGTGGATTGAATGTACCAGAAGAGTGATGGAGCTGATAAACTGGTGTTATAGGTGCAGTTGAGAGACAAGTCTTCTCCTTCATAAGCAGTCACTTGAGAAAAGAAATGTCAGGATTCCAGTAACATCAGATTATTGAGAAAAAGATAATGAGAGCCGTATCCTACCAAAGAGAAGTGCAGCAAGAACAACAGAGGTCCACAGCCAATGTCCCATACTTATCATAGGATACAAAGACCAAGACAAACTGATGTTACAATATTGAAACTGGTGTGCTCTCTTGATTCCTGTCTTTGTAGCAGCACAGGCCTAGACCATGCAGCACAGCACAGAGGGGATGTTCAAATAGACAAGTCATTTCAGAGTAGAAAGCAACACTCACTTGGTAATGTGGCCCCCTTGTGGTTGATGCTGGCTTTTCCATTACTCTCCACACAATACTGAGTATAACTTCTTTCTCCTAAATTAATCAAGTTAGACAGTACTAGCTGTATATGTTCTAATCCATGAGATATTGTAATGCATTTTCATGTCTCTTACATCGACTCCCGAGTGGCGCAGTGGTCTAAGGCACTGCATCGCAGTGCTAGCTGTGCTACTAGAGATCCTAGTTCGAGTTCAGGCTCTGTCGCAGCTGGCCGCGACCGGGAGACCCGTGAGCGGCGCAAAATTGGTCCAGCATCGTCCAAGATAGGGGAGGGTTTGGCCAGCAGGGATGTGGGTTTGTTTCCCACGGGGGGCCAGTATGAAAAAAAACATGTATGCATTCACTAACTGTAAGTTGCTCTGGATAAGAGAGTATGCTAAATGAATAAAATGTAAATATTGGCATCATCAATGACTAACTGTATAATCATCATCATCTGCTACTACTAGTCTTGGTAGTATCAGGGAGGTAGTGAGAAGGTTGCTGTGTCAATTTCAAAGTGGTGTTGTATACTGTATTGTCATTGTGTAGCTCAGTATGTTTTTGTAAGGGGGCTGTATATCCTGTTATCACAGTGGGCCTCAGAGCACAGTAGTACACAGCAGAGTCAGACAGCTGCACCCTCAGGATTGTCAAGGAGTGATTTGGAGTCTGTATCGAGATGGGCATCAAATCTTTCCTTGAACTCTGGCATTTGTACTTCCCAAAGAAAAACGTCCCAGCATGAACTTTGGGAAGCTATTTAGTTCATGCTTGTACCAGAACAGGTAGAGATTATTAGTATTAACTGGATTTCTGGATTGGATTTCTGGATTGGATTGCTGCAAAATGTCATCTTCATGATTTTGCTGTAGTTCTGAATAGAGATAATTCAGCTCATAAATGCCTTCTATTGGTATTGACTCAAAATGTATGCTGTTGACAAAAACCAATGGATAAGAATAAGACAATTACTGCCCTTAATCGTCTAAGAAAGAAAAACAACACAGCAAATGTTATTCATTCTGTATGTATCCAGACTAGTATCAGTGATCATGTTATATCACAACAGGTACATGCAGACAATATAAAGTATTATTTCCTGAAGAAGGGAATATATTTCCCTAAAATAACAGTTTTATTTTTCAGTTGATGTGGAGATGCAGGGAAAATATATGTATTAATGTACTCTAAATAACAGATCTTCAAGTCTACACAGGTCTTCTCTTAATTCAGTCTACCAGTATGTCGTGGAGTCGTAATGGATGTATTCTGTACATACTTGTTGGTTTGTAGACATTTTGGTCTATATCCGGGGTATTGACGGTACCATTGGAGATTGTTAACGTTGCCCTTGTAGTTGCAGGAGAGCATTGACTTCAGGCTTCACTGGAGTTATTGTTTCCTGCTCCATACTATCAGCTGCAACAACATAAGTATTGTCATTGTTTTCATGTTTATTCTAAATGAAAAAAAAAGCCATGGATTAGTTGCCCATGAAGTGCGACAAGAGAAAGAATTTTAAACTCTCCTGTAAAATACCACTTAGTTTTTAATACAATCATTTATTGAAAAAAGCAATATCACTGTATTTAAAATGTTATTTGGTTTCAGCTGAGAATTCAGCACTCACCTACAAACACAGAGAGGAGCAACAGTAATATGAGTGACATCCTGACACAGAGTAACCAGGTGGCGAATCGCATCTCTGCATTTCTGGCAGACATATCAGTGTGGATGACAGATCACCACCTCAAGCTGAACCTCGGCAGGACGGAGCTGCTCTTCCTCCCGGGGAAGGACTGCCCGTTCCATGATCTCGCCATCACGGTTGACAACTCCATTGTGTCCTCCTCCCAGAGTGCGAAGAGCCTTGGCGTGACTCTGGACAACACCCTGTCGTTCTCCGCTAACATCAAGGCGGTGACCCGATCCTGTAGGTTCATGCTCTACAACATTCGGAGAGTACGACCCTGCCTTACACAGGAAGCGGCACAGGTCCTAATCCAGGCACTTGTCATCTCCCGTCTGGATTACTGCAACTCGCTGTTGGCTGGGCTCCCTGCCTGTGCCATTAAACCCCTACAACTCATCCAGAATGCCGCAGCCTGTCTGTGTGTTCAACCTTCCCAAGTTCTCTCACGTCACCCCGCTCCTCCGCACACTCCACTGGCTTCCAGTTGAAGCTCGCATCTGCTACAAGACCATGGTGCTTGCCTACGGAGCTGTGAGGGGAACGACACCTCCTTACCTTCAGGCTCTGATCAGTCCCTACACCCAAACGAGGGCATTGCGTTCATCCACCTCTGGCCTGCTGGCCCCCCTACCTCTGCGGAAGCACAGTTCCCGCTCAGCCCAGTCAAAACTGTTCGCTGCTCTGGCACCCCAATGGTGGAACAAGCTCCCTCACGACCCCAGGAGAGCGGAGTCACTCACCACCTTCCGGAGACACTTGAAACCCCACCTCTTTAAGGACTACCTGGGATAGGATAAAATAATCCTTCTACCCCCCCTTACCCCACCCCACCCCCCAAAAAATAAAAAATAAATAAAAATATTGTAAAGTGGTTATCCAATTTGTAAGTCGCTCTGGATAAGACGTAAATGTAAATGTAAATGAGTAGATAAACCAACTGAGAGATAAGACAGTGAGAGAGCTCAGTAGATCCTCTACAGATACATCCTCATGGTTGCAGGTATACCCAACCTATACCAGTGTTTGAGGCTCCTCCTCTGATACCTGTATATGTAACTCTTCTTCTGTGGTTTGTGGTTAAGGGTTTTCAGTTCCTATTGGCCTCCTCCTCAAATTATTTTGGACTTAATTTCTATCTGAAATGTATTTTTGTTGTTGTTGTTGTTGTATTTTGGATTTTTTTATAGATCCACAATTCTATACCATGCTATGCCATATGTATCATCGGCAAATAAACCTTCTAATAAGAATTGTGTAATTAACCTCATAAAGAAATGACCCTTTTTTAAAAATGTTCGCCTAAAATGACATACCCAAATCTTCCTGCCTGTAGCTCAGGACCTGAAGCAAGAATATGCATATTCTTGATACCATTTGAAAGGAAACACTTTAAGTTTGTGGAAATGTGAAATTAATGTAGGAGAATATACCACATTAGTCCCCTGTAGCTCAGTTGGTGGAGCATGGCGCTTGCAACGCCAGGGTTGTGGGTTCGTTTCCCACGGGGGGGCCAGTATGAAAGATGTATGCACTCACTAACTGTAAGTCACTCTGGATAAGAGCGTCTGCAAAATGACTAAAATGTAGATCTGGTAAAAGATAATACAAACAAAAAAACAGTTTTCTATTATTTTTTTTGTTCCATCATCCTTGAAATGCCACAATATAATATTGCAGTTTAGGCGCACTTTAGATTCTGGCCACTAGATGGCAGCAGTGTGTGTTCAAAGTTTCAGTTTGATCCAGTGAAGCATTGCAATGCTGGACTATTTTGTATCAAATCTGCCCAAATGTGCCGAATTGGTCAATTGGTCAAAAAGTACATAACTATAGAGAACATACAAAAAGGATATGGTAAAACAAAATGTAAGTTTACACACTCCCAGGAATGTCATACATCATGGATCATTAGCTTATGCACTTACTTTCACACATCTAGATGGCCGGGCGGGGTGGATGTGGAGCCAGAGACAGCAGGGGTTCAAACTGTAGAACCCAGTTCCTACGTTTGAATATATAATTGATTTTATCAAACAAAACTACGCTACATTGTATCTCTGAGACCCTTAGGATGACAAATCAGAGCGAGATTACTGAATGTAAGTACATTATTTACCTTCAGAGGTGAATGTATCAAACCAGTTGCCGTGATACGTTTTTTGTTGTTGTGCACTCTCCTCAAACAATAGCATGATATTTTTTCACTGTAATAGCTACTGTAAATTGGACAGTGCAGTTAGATTAACAAGAATGTAAGCTTTCTACCCATATTAGACATGTCTATGTCCTGGAAAGTTTGCTGTTACTTCAACAGTCATGTTATTCACATTAGCACACGTTAGCTCACTGTAATAGCTACTGTAGAGGTTAAGTGATAATGCCAGAGAAGCCATGTTTGGAGGTTATATTGGCACGGGTGTTGTTAGGCCCGAGATGTATCCTCCAAACACCGACTTTGAGGACATTTGTAATGAATACTCAGGGAAAAAAAGGTGTATATTCACGCGCAGAGCGCACCAGGTGTTTATTTCGCCTTCGCAGAAGGCAGGAATCGTGGTCACAAGCAGGTAATGGTCAAACACAGGTAGGCAAACAGGCAGGTGAATCAAAACTAGGACTGAAGACTATAACTGGTTCTCACAAAAGAGCTAGGAAAAGGCTTAGTAGAGTCAATGCCTCACAAGGCACAAAAAGAATGAATTGAAATAAATAAGGAGCTGATGAGACCAGGTGAATAACTAACACAGGTGAAATCAATGAACAAAAATGAAAGACAGGGCTACTGTTAGGTTGCGTCCATTCGAATCTGGTATTGGAACAAAAGAGGTCAACACACCTCTTCTAAGTTTTACTAGTATTTTAATTATTGCAAACACTTGAATGGTAAATATGATGTCCGTATATTTGGGCTCACTGAAACACCACGCAGGGCAGACAGGGAACTAACTGTCCCAACCCAAAGTTATTCTTTAATACTCTGACAGAGATAGTTCCTGCTCAAAGTGGGCCTATCAGAATAGAGGCTGAGCGTGGTTTAAACTTACTCAGCCTATCGTTGGTGCACAGGCTGGTCCCAGCCCCTTGGCGCTTCACTGTTGCCGGGCATTAGTTGTTTTCCGCAACTTGTCTCGAGAGTCAGCACCCACAGACATAGTTTCTTCTTCTTCATTGTTGCAGTACACATGTCCTTGAGCGGTTTAACAAAGAGGCAGTGTGTGTGTGTGTGTCACAAGTCTATCTCAGCCTCTCCCCTAACGGTTCCTCACATTAGTCACAGCTTGTTATGTTAAACAATCTATATCAGTACAGCACAAACCTATTATGTTTAATCATTAATGTATTCTTTTTAAGCTATGCATCACATCTAATTATAAGAAAATAGATCCCAACAATCCCCCTTTTCACACCCGCAGGGTATGTGAACCCAAAATAAGAAATTTCAGGGATATTTAGGATTCCCCTTTTGACATCTACTAGGGTGTCACGCATTAAAATACAATACAAACAAAAAGAATCACACTTTTATTAATAGGCAATAATAATAATAAAAAGGCCTTCAGTCCATCCATCTACACCTAACGTGTACTAGGTTGGCTACCAGCCACCCAGGAACTTCAAACCTTCAAATAAGGAAAGACAAACATTTACAATAGTTAAAATGGATTTATAAAACATAAAAGCACAAACAGGGAATTTTGATTCCCCCTTTAGGCACCCACTAGGGTGTCACTCCACCACCTCACCAATAGCAAACCAAGGGTCATCTTTTGTCAACCCCAGTTTCCTCCGAAAGTTAGACTCAGTGTCTGCATCTCCTTCTTGTGCCTCCAGCAAGGGCATCATACCAGCAGCGTGCACAACATCTGTAACAGACTTTCTCAGACAAGGGATAATACAGGCAGCACAGCACACCAAAATTAAAAACATAACGATTAGGGTCAGAAATCCAGTAACCACCAGTGCAGCATACTTACCAAACCACTCCCCCAACCAGGAGAACAGTCCGGTTTCCTCCACTCCAGCCATTCTATTCATTTCAGCTGATAGTTTATCTAAACCAACTAGGGCTTTAGAGATACTCCCGTCAGGGCTGGTATTGTTAGGGATAAATGTGCAACAATGGCTTACCATTCTATAGACAACGCCCCTTTCTGCCTGATCTAGAGCCAACCTCTTTTACTAAGTCATGAATGAAATGGCGGATAATTGTTCAGAGATCCCTTTTGCTGCATCCCTAGTCTAGCCAATAAATCGTTGTTGGTCGTAATACATATAATGAATCCAATCCACAATTTTGTTTGTCACCCACCAAAAGAGCGTGGTAGTAAACCCTTCCCCTAATTGTTTCATAGCTTGGTATCCATCCGATACCCCCCTTGGTATCCCAATCGCATTCATCTAAATAGGGCTATTCTCCTTCTTGTTAAAACTCCTCCTACATCTGTTTAATCCTTGGTTCCTGGTGACTAATTCTAACTAGCTGAACCAGTAGAACCAGGGTGCACGTATCTAGCCACCCTTTTGGAATTCTCTGCCTTATACTGCCTTTACTGGCACACGCCCACCACACATCGGTTACAGGGGCTGTAAGGTTTAGAATTCTCTCCTGTGCTTCCGAACTTAAGTCCGTCACATTACTACTATCTCCAATTGATAATTGGTGATGTCTTTGTTTCTCTTTACCCCCCATCTGGATGTTCAGTCCCGCTCGGTCTCATATCCCCATCCCTAAGTGTGTTTAAACACTTGAGTCTAGGAACAATCTGCCGTGGGGGCCGAACACAAATATAATGGGATTTTATAATCCCAATTTGCTTATTGACATGTACCCCACCCATTGGCTACGTCCCTACCCTTATTTTGAATCTGACAGTCTGCCCTTCTCTGACTCCCATTTTGTAGGCCACTCATCCTTGACGGTCAGTATGTCGGGTCACTTCTCTTCTCTTTTACTTCTTAACAATCGTAAGGGCATAGCGTAATTGGCGGTGGATCTTGACATATCAAGACCATTGCCGAGACTATGATGCAGCTCAAGTCACCCATATTCCCAAAAACCGCCAACCCTCTCCTGTCCTCAGTCTTTCTGCTTGGTACTACCCCATACTCACACCCTGAGCACACACTACAGTGATGATAGGTCGGGGTAGGAGATCTTCGTTAACAGAGGTGATCCCCAGACCCTATTGGTCCAGTTCTTCTCTCTAACTTTGTGTGTGTTCAGTGGTGCTTGTATGTGTTCTTACCTTTTTGCAGTGGGCTAACGTGGACCCAGGTTGCTCTTCCTGCTATTCTAATGGCAAAGGCAGTGACCAATATAACCTGATAGGGCCCTTCCCAACAGGCCTGCTTCCAGTTTTTCTTCTTTAGGGACTGGATCCTCACCAGTCACCTGGTTAGATAGAGTGGGTCACCTACTCCTTTAGTTCACCTGTGGGGCACAAAACCTCTGACATACGGGTGTGGTTAATAAACTATCTTCACACGTGTTCAGCTGTCAATTTCTATTTCTGACTGCTCCGGTCCTCCTAACTCTGGTATTCTGTATGGTCTACCAAATTCCTTCTCCAATGGCAATAACCCTTCTTTATCTGGAGTTCTCCTGATCGTCATTAATACTATCGGTAGACCTTGTACACCATTTTTTCCTGCTCTCCTGTGTGTTTTCCTTAACCCCTCTCTAATCATACCGTTCACATCAGTATTTTCTTTCTAGACTGTAATGATGTCATGTTAGAGGATTGTGAGGACAGGGAAAGAGTTAAGAGATGAGTGGTTTGGGGCTTTAAAGTCTACATTCCTTATGTCAAGGTAGATTAGTGATGTTTAGAATAGCATGAGTGATGGGCAGGATACTGACTTGGGGTAGAAAGTGATGAACATCAAAGACAGGGAGTGCCCATGGAGACTTGCCAGATGTATGCCAGCAGAAGGGTAATAAAGGCTATTTAAGGTAGAGGGTCTTCTTTGTTAAAGTTAGTTCGTAGCATCAAGGGCAAAACTCTGGTCATTGCTGTCACAAACCCGGTACCGATCATTAAATAATTGTATTAACTTTCTACAAAGTGTCTCAGTATATCCTTGCATCCTTGATTCTTTGAACACCCGAGAAACTGATCATAACATAGACTGTATCTAAAAAATTGTTTTTTAAAAGTATTTTGTCCTCTCCTTCGTATATTTATTATTTAATCCTACCATCTACTATCATCCCCCTCTTGACACATGTTTTGCCCATGTGTCAATATTACCACCTACCTAAACAATCACTTAGATAATATTGGTAATTTATCATCCAATTGCCATCCCTTATTTATTTTTGAGACTGTCCCTTGCTTCTTTATTGCTACTATCTTCCTGATACTGTAGGGGATGTCCCTCAATCCTGAAAAAATTAAATAAAATAAAAAAATAATCCCCCCTCAGAACACATCAGATAACTCCACGTATCATTAAATTCACTAAACCTATAAATAACAAACCTATAAATAACAAACCCATAACCACCTTCCGATAACCTACTGATTTAAACCTGTTGCATTAATTTATTAAAATATAAACCTACTGTTTAATAAATCCAATGTTTGCATTGAACACATCTCTCAGTCTCTCTAGGTATTGACTAATAGTCTCACTGTCTCCCTGCTTACACTCGTGGACTTTGGAGAAGTCGGCATGTCTGTGATAATATTCTCTCAGATTATCACAGAGTTGTGCCAATTTATCTCCATAGTATTAATATCCAATGTAGTGATTGACGTTCCTTAATGGTACAATATTATATAAATTATGTCTCACCCATGACGTATGTCTACGTTTGGGTGAGCAAGTTAATACATAATTATTATTCCAATTATTATTTTATGAAGTCTAGCCTCTATTTCAACACAAAAACCCATCATCAAATGTAATCCCAGCAGAACTAAAAAAAAAAAAAAAAGACTGTGATTTCCAGGACACTGCACCTTTGTTTCTGGTCTCACTATCTCCCCGAGAATTGTCCCTCCCTCAAGGTCCCTCCCAATCTGCTCATGGTAAACTGCAAACCTTTTATTGCTTCTGGTTTCATAGGGTATTGCTTCTGATATGGCCTATGATTAGATTTGGGTATCACCTGTACTGGAATTACCCCTTTTATTAATTCTACGTCTGCTGGACCCCGGGACCACAAATGCTCTGGAACTTCTTTTAAGTCTGACTCCTGTTGTTCTGTCAACAGGTATCCCTCTCCTCAGTATCTGCTATTCTCATCTAAATGTACTCTGGGAACTGAATTGGCTCGGCCCGTGGGAAACGAACCCACAACCCTGGCGTTGCAAGCGCCTTGCTCTACCAACTGAGCTACAGGGGACTAATGTGTTATATTCTCCTACATTAATCACTTTAAGTGTTTCCTTTCAAATGGTATCAAGAATATGCATATTCTTGCTTCGGGTCCTGAGCTACAGGCAGGAAGATTTGGGTATGTCATTTTAGGCGATAAAAAAAAAGGGTCATATATTTATGATTAATTATGGTTAATTATAAAATTCTTATTAGAATGTTTATTTGCCGATGATACATATGGCATTGCATGGTATAGAATTGTGGATCTATAAAAAAATCAAAAATACAACAATAACAACAACAAAAATACATTTCAGATAGAAATTAAGTCCAAAATAATTTGAGGAGGAGGCCAATAGGAACTGAAAACCCTTAACCACAAACCACAGAAGAAGAGTTACATATACAGGTATCAGAGGAGGAGCCTCAAACACTGGTATAGGTTGGGTATACCTGCAACCATGAGGATGTATCTGTAGAGGATCTACTGAGCTCTCTCACTGTCTTATCTCTCAGTTGGTTTATCTACTCATTTATATTTACATTTACGTCTTATCCAGAGCTACTTACAAATTGGTGCATTCACCTTATAGCCAGTTGGATAACCACTTGACAATATTTTTTATTTATTTTTATTTTTTGGGGGGTGGGGTGGGGTAAGGGGGGGTAGAAGGATTACTTTATCCTATCCCAGGTATTCCTTAAAGAGGTGGGGTTTCAAGTTTCTCCGGAAGGTGGTGAGTGACTCCGCTGTCCTGGCGTCGTGAGGGAGCTTGTTCCACCATTGGGGTGCCAGAGCAGCGAACAGTTTTGACTGGGCTGAGCGGGACCTGTGCTTCCGCAGAGGTAGGGGGTCCAGCAGGCCAGAAGTGGATGAACGCAATGCCCATGTTTGAGTGTAGGGACTGATCAGAGCCTGAAGGTACGGAGGTGCCGTTCCCCTCACAGCTCCGTAGGCAAGCACCATGGTCTTGTAGCAGATGCGAGCTTCAACTGGAAGCCAGTGGAGTGTACGGAGGAGCAGGGTGACGTGAGAGAACTTGGGAAGGTTGAACACCAGACGGGCTGCGGCATTCTGGATGAGTTGTAGGGGTTTAATGGCACAGGCAGGGAGCCCAGCCAACAGCGAGTTGCTGTCAATGTTTTTCTGGGAATAGACTAACTTAGTTTATTCAGCTAGCTAACTTGGTACAGTATTCTTCCGTGAAAATCGTCCAGGGCACCTAGTCATAGCCAACTAGCATGCCGGACTCCAACAACACGGTTTAGCACCAATACTCGGCCACAACAAACCACCAGTGTGTCAACACGCCAAGCAGATCATTCGTGTCTGTGTCTAACGTTGTGGGTTAGTCCCGACAGCTTGAGCGAGTCCGTCGTCAACTTATTCAGCCAGTTAGTTAGCTAGAATAGTTAGCATACTAGCTAGCCATTGCTTTCAGACAAAGAGGAGACCCCTCCTCTCACAGCACGAACACACAGAGAGCCTTACCCTTGGATACCCATTGGCCCATGTCTTTCCAGTCCTCTGCTGGCTCCTTTGCTAGGGACACATGTGGGCTCCATCTTTCCCTGAACTTTGGGGCCCTAGTTCCACCTCCACTGCTGCGTGGGTGTTGTCATAGTGAAACCATTTCAAGGCTATAGTCCTTTCTGTGGTTTTAAATAATGCTTCCTCATAGATTGCATCTGGACCTGGGTGTTGGTTATACCAGAGAGTACAGTGTAGGTCATCGGGGGACATTTTAGTGGGGCCTGGTACTACATCATCAGCAAGTTCCATCAAGGTTCGGGGAATATCAGTTATTCCCCCCCTTAACAAATCTTGACTATAGCAATAACATGGCTCCCCTTCCCCACAGACCACCATATTGTCTCTGATTATGTGTGCTTTCATTCCCCTCTCAGTGGAAATGACGGCCACATTCAATTTAGTCATTACATCACGTCCTAGTAAATTTACCGGACACAGCTTAGATATCAGGATGGGTATGGTTGCCTCTCCTCCTGATTGGTCATGTTTTAGGGTTATTGGGGCTGATAACATTTCAATAAATTGATGACCAGAGGCAGATCGCACTATGATTTTCTCCCCATCAAGCCTGACTCCATCTGGCTTGTCTGTTGCACAGATTGCTGTCCTGCAGGCTCCCGTATCACAAAGGAATTTAATTTTCTTACCCATTACTGTCAATGTCAAATAAGGTTTCTGTTCCTGTTGAAGTGCTAAGTCAATAGTAGCCAATTCAAACACCTCACAATTTGGATCAAAGGGTTCCTTAGTCTTCACCTCACTAGAGTCTACTCTTTCTCCCTCAAGGACTAGTCACGCCTTATCTTCCTCTTCCTCACGCTCAAAGCTGGGAAATAGACGTCTGTTAGGCTTCTCTCTTTTTTCTTTCTTTCCTTTTCCTTTGGGTTTGCATTGAAAAGAGTTATGGCCTGTCTTACCACAGTATCTGCATGGGGCCTCACACTCTCTGGCGAAATGCCCTCCTTTGTTACAGTTGAAGCATCGACCTCCCCCGCTGTAGCCTTCACTTTTCCCTGCCTTTACCCGCTATTTCCCCAAGAGTGGCCATTAGGTACTCTGCTCCTTTCTGCTCTTTCGTGGCTCTGTCCTGTCTGTTATTCTGCTCATGATGGATTGCATGCCTGTCTGAGGCTATTACACAATTCAGTTATTTTCCCAACATACTCTCCGTGATCGGCCCATGGCAAAAGTGTCCTCTGGGCATCCCCTGAAACCCATTGCCCTCTAACGGCAGCCCAAACCTTACTATTCCTGTTTTGGGGTGGGTCATTCCTTCTACCGCTCTGGCCACGTCCTCTGTGTTCATGGCCTGTCTGCTAAATGGCATTTTATTATTATTATTACTGTTTACATCTAAGGTTGCTGAGGCCTCTTTCATTCCCCGCCAATAGATTAGGTAAGGCTATCAGTGGGTACTGGCCCCCTCCTACTCTCTCTCTCACTGCTTCTTTCTCCTTTACACACCGTATGTATCTGTTTAAGCATGGATTCGAGTTTATCTGCGTCCAGACGTCCCTCAAAACCATACCTCTCCCTCCACCTGGTTACATAACGGAGATTTCTTCCATCCCTGGATTCCATTTTAATTACATCAAGTATTTCCCATCCCCAGTAAATTCTGGGACCTCTTGTGAGGATTTGCCCCCCATGGTTGGTACTGTTAAAAATCCCTTAGCCACCTCTTATATATAACAAGTCAATATAACAGGTCATTAAAAACAGCTTCACACCACAACACCTGGAATCACCCCTCCCTGTATAGGTATTCTTGACTAGTCCCCCAGAATTATATCCTATTCTACGGAGGAGTTTATCCCCACAATGTAATCTTGACAATTCCTGACAGTCTCATACAACAGGAATGGGTTCTCCCTCCTCTATACAACCAGAAGAGGTTTTGTCTGTTTTTCGTTTTAACGTATCCAATATTCTGCCGGGCTCCCCGTCAACCGGAAGTCCATCGGGTGAATTAATACTACCGTCTTTTATCCATTTCTTATATAATTTCTCCCCTCTTCTCTTCCACTCCTTACCGTCTTTACCCCCATTAATTTCTAGTGCTGACTTCAATGCCTTTAACACCCTCTCGGTCTCTTGGTTGGTCATTTTTAGTTTTAATCTATCGTAATCTAACTATCCAAACGTATTTATTATTCCTAGTGATATATTTATTTTAGTGCAGAATAAAACGTTATAATTCAGGTCCCCGACCTATTATTTACCCGTAAGTCAACCAGACCGATATTAGATCTCTGACTAATATCAAATGTACTACAAATACTCAGTAAACCTACTCAGTATTACCTAGGACCTAGCCAGTAATATGTTCACAATTACCGGACCTTGCCTTAGAACCTAGCCAGTAATATGTTCACAATTACCGGACCTTGCCTTAGAACCTAGCCAGTAATATGTTCACAATTACCGGACCTTGCCTTAGAACCTAGCCAGTAATATGTTCACAATTACCACACCTTGCCTTAGAACCTAGCCAGTAATATGTTCACAATTACCGGACCTTGCCTTGGAAAGAACAGAACCTAGCCCGTACAACTACGGGACCTTGCCTGTACTTATTTATCCGTGAATCATTCAAACCGATATTGGTGCGCTGTCTAATATCTAATGTACTTCATTCACACGATTGGGTTGGCCTCCCAAACTTCACTCAGTCTCGTTAATAATAGTCCCAGACTTATTAACCACAATCAAACTTGATACCCGGTATCTAGTTCATTACATTCGTTGTTATACAGTGGGGGGAAAAGTATTTAGTCAGCCACCAATTGTGCAAGTTCTCCCACTTAAAAAGATGAGAGAGGCCTGTAATTTTCATCATAGGTACACGTCAACTATGACAGACAAAATTAGAAAAAAAATCCAGAAAATCACATTGTAGGATTTTTTATGAATTTATTTGCAAATTATGGTGGAAAATAAGTATTTGGTCAATAACAAAAATTTCTCAATACTTTGTTATATACCCTTTGTTGGCAATGACACAGGTCAAATGTTTTCTGTAAGTCTTCACAAGGTTTTCACACACTGTTGCTGGTATTTTGGCCCATTCCTCCATGCAGATCTCCTCTAGAGCAGTGTTGTTTTGGGGCTGTCGCTGGGCAACACAGACTTTCAACTCCCTCCAAAGATTTTCTATTGGGTTGAGATCTGGAGACTGGCTAGGCCACTCCAGGACCTTGAAATGCTTCTTATGAAGCCACTCCTTCATTGCGGTGTGTTTGGGATCATTGTCATGCTGAAAGACCCAGCCACGTTTCATCTTCAATGCCCTTGCTGATGGAAATAGGTTTTCACTCAAAATCTCACGATACATGGCCCCATTCATTACCAAAAAGTTATATTTTGGTTTCATCTGACCATATGACATTCTCCCAATCCTCTTCTGGATCATCCAAATGCACTCTAGCAAACTTCAGACGGGCCTGGACATGTACTGGCTTAAGCAGGGGGACACGTCTGGCACTGCAGGATTTGAGTCCCTGGCGGCGTAGTATATTACTGATGGTAGGCTTTGTTATTTTGGTCCCAGCTCTCTGCAGGTCATTCACTAGGTCCCCCCGTGTGGTTCTGGGATTTTTGCTCACCGTTCTTGTGATCATTTTGACCCCATGGGGTGAGATCTTGCGTGGAGCCCCAGATCGAGGGAGATTATCAGTGGTCTTGTATGTCTTCCATTTCCTAATAATTGCTCCCACAGTTGATTTCTTCAAACCAAGCTGCTTACCTTTTGCAGATTCAGTCTTCACAGCCTGGTGCAGGTCTACAATTTAGTTTCTGGTATCCTTTGACAGCTCTTTGGCCTTGACCATAGTGGAGTTTGGAGTGTGACTGTTTGAGGTTGTGGACAGGTGTCTTTTATACTGATAACAAGTTCAAACAGGTGCCATTAATACAGGTAATGAGTGGAGGACAGAGGAGCCTCTTAAAGAAGAAGTTACAGGTCTGTGAGAGCCAGAAATCTTGCTTGTTTGTAGGTGACCAAATACTTATTTTCCACCATAATTTGCAAATAAATTCATTAAAAATCCTACAATGTGATTTCCGGATTTTTTCTCTCTCAATTTGTCTGTCATAGTTGATGTGTACCTATGATGAAAATTACAGGCCTCTCTCATCTTTTTAAGTGGGAGAACATGCACAATTGGTGGCTGACTAAATACTTTTTTCCCCACTGTACCTACGTTTACCCACACACATTCCGGTTAAGTACTGTTGGGATCAATTTTCTTATAATTAGTTATATTTTAATGAGTGACACCCTAGTGGGTGTCAAAAGGGGAAATCCTACATTTCCCTGAAATTTCTTATTTTGGGTTCACACCCAGCGGGTGTGAAAAGGGGGATTGTTGGGATCTATTTTCTTATAATTAGATGTGATGCCTTGCTTAAGAAGAATACATTAATGATTAAACATAATAGGTTTGTACTGTACTGATATAGAGGAAACTATGTCTGGAGTTGCTGACTCTCGAGACAAGTTGCAAAAAACAACTAATGCCCGGCAACAGTGAGGCGCCAAGGGTCTGGGACCAGCCTGAGCGCCAACGATAGGCTGGGTAATTTTAATCCACGCCCAGCCTCTACTCTGACAGGCCAGCCTGGAGCAGGAACTATCTCTGTCAGAGTATTAAAGAATAACTTTGGGTTGGGACAGTTAGTTCCCTGTCTGCCCTGCGTGGTGTTTCAGTGACTCCATATATACGAACGTCATATTTACCACTCAAGTGTTTGCATTAATTAAAATACTAGTAAAACTTAGAAGAGGTGTGTTGACATATTTTGTTCCAATACCAGATTCGAATGGATTTAACCTAACAATTGGTGACCCCGACGTAATCTGGTAGAGGGACTTTGCTGGAAATTGCCCAGCTTATTGGACATCACTGTCGTTGGACGGTGTGTTTCACAAAGAGTCCGGACAACTAAAAACAGGTAAGCAGACACCTATTGTTATATAACTAAAGTTCTGCACATTGGTTTTATCCAAATTAATTTTGTGAAACACCTGTTTGATGTAAGTGAACTAAATTATGAATTATTATGAGCAAATAAGAAATATTGTCGCTATTGTGACATGCAAACCTGTGGTGAATGTGAATGTTAAACCATGGTACCATAGAGTATTGTTCTACCGGCAAGGTCCGTAACTACGAGGGTCCGGCTAGGTTCGGAAATGTTTTGATAATATAGGAAATAATTGAATTAGTAATTGGTATCGGCAAGGTTCGTAACTACGAGGGTACGGCTAGGTTCAAGGAATTACACCGGCAAGGTCCGTAACTACGAGGGTACGGCTAGGTTCGGGACATTTTAGATAAGTACTGGTGACCGGCAAGGTCCGTAACTACGAGGGTACGGCTAGGTTCGGCTGAGTATTTTGTAGGTAGGAAGGGCAATAGGAGGCGGATATAATTGAATAGTAAATGTTTATTTGACGTAACAAATACTGAGTTTAAATAATTCAGTTTAAGTAATTTGGATTACCATTTGATTTGACATAACAAATACTGGTTTCAAATAATTAATTTGAAGTAATATGGTTTATCGTTTGATTTGACATAACAACCATTGGTTAAATAATTGAAATACTTTGGTTTATTCGTTTTGATTTACAATTTGATGTGTGGCACTGTAAGAATACTGGTTTCAAATAATTAGGCTGAAATAATCTGGCACCGAGCTTAACTAATTAGGTGGGAAGGATTTGATTTAGATAAATAGAGTAACGTATTTTAAATAACGAACGAATATTACAAATTAAAACGAAGAACATGAATACCAGTGGAGAAGCGGAAAGAACATTGAAGGTTTTGAAGTCCACACTTGAAATTAATGGGGGTAAAGACGATTAGGAGTGGAAGAGAAGGGGGGAGAAATTATATAAGAAATGGATAAAAGACGGTAGTATTAATTCACCCGATGGACTCCCAGTTGACGGGGAGCCCGGCAGAATATTGGAAACGCTAAAACGAAAAACAGACAAAACCTGTTCCGAATGGAAACAGAAGGGAGAACCGCGAGGGGAGGGGCTAGAGACAGCGAGAGTATGGCTTTTGGAGAGTCAGGAAAGACTAAGAAGTGATTTGTGTCGATTAAGAATTTGCTAAAAACGCCACGAAGCGATTATTTGAGAGGTACCTAAGCATTTCTAACGATATATACGTATGAACTTGCTCACCCGAACGTAGATGTTACGGATACAGGTATCCTGTGTCTTTTTGTGTTTTTCCTCTCCTTCTGCCCTCATCACAGGTGTCCTGTATGTTCCTGATTGGTGGTTGTTGGGGTGTCTGCTGATTGCTGAGGTGGACCAATCAGTGGACATTCCTCTGCATTGCACCACCTGTTTCTGGTTTTTCAATCACACATCCCATTGTTTAAAAGCCGGTCAGTTGGGTTTGTTGTGAGAGACTATTTTCGTATGTGAGTATGGATACTGTGGTGTCCTGTGTTTTGTGTACTCACTCATTTGCTGGTTACTCTGTTTGGTAACTTTGTGAGAGACTATTTTTCGTATGTGAGTATGGATACTGTGGTGTTTTGTGTACTCACTCATTTGCTGGTTACTCTGTTTGGTAACTTTGTTGTGTGTTTCTGGGAAAAGGGGAATTTAACCAAGTTGCCCTTGGGCGTACATTACCCGTAGGAAGAAAACTGTCTAAAAACACTAGTTAGACCTGAGCGGACCACCCACTGTACATTTTGTATGATTAGCAGTAGCTTAGCGGTTCTTGAGGCAGGCAAGATCAGTTTATGGGTGTTTTACACTATTGTTTCATTTCTTGGGTCCTGCTCAGCCCTTTTTCCCAAACCTTTACCGTGTGTTCAAAAATAAACCTTTTATGTTTGACGGTAGTTTATGGTTGTCGTGTAGTTTTTGTTCTCACTGTTCCATGTCACGATTCTAATTTGCCTGAATTATGTTACGGGTCTCTTGTCCATCCACCCTAGACGTTTAAAGCCACGGGATTCGTAATAGTAGATGTACGTCATGGGTGAGAAAGTAGAGAATATGAGTTTAAGGTTGTGCCGTTTGATCATGTGATAAGGTTTAATGGGTAATCGGACCATAACTAATGTGGGTA